CACTGTTCTTGCGAGCCCACCTGACAAAATTACTGCCATTCCAGGAAACAGACATGTCTCGTGAACATCAGGAGGTCATTTTCACACTCCCCTACTACACAACCGTGACCACAGGGGTCAGAGCACTTCACCGTGGAAAATCTTGAGTGTTGCAGAAAAGCTAGGACAATATTAAGTCACACAGTATGTGTCCATTGTCACAATCCACTCTGCCTGATATATTTAGCCTTATACCATTTTCGACTGCATGCTGCAAGTAATAATGATCAGAAAATAGTCCCTAAACTCTAGCACTGGCATCTGAACTGAATCAGTAGACAACTTCAGACTTAAAGCAATGGTTCAGCCAATAACACGTTATCCAGTTTGTTCAAAGCTAATGAGTGGGTTAGGGCTGCTAACAGGGCTGTTCAGACTTTGTCCTGAAGGGTCAGCACAGCTTCGTAACTACCTTACTCAAACACAGCCACTGAAGAGGCAATTAACATGAGTTGAATCAGGTGATCAGGTGTGTATGAGCTCAGAAATCAGCAAACTGTTGCAGACAACAGCCCTCCAGGAGCAGAGCTGAACACCTCTGGAGTCGGCCCATCTCAATCATTACATAATCGCCTGATTGCAATTATCTGAGCTGTCCGCAATTATTTAAGATGACCGCAGTTATTTTGCACAGTTGGTAGTCTTCACAATAATGTGTTTACATTGCAACAAACAACGTGAACTGGGTGCGTTTTCATCTGTAAGACTGAGACAAATGCATGTAAATAAAAGAAAACCATTCAGATGTCTTACCAAGACAGCAAACTGGCTGCTGCTATAACACTCTTAGAGGGCACCAGTGAATAATGTTCGTTTGTTTGAGTTTGAGCTGTTTCGCTCCTAAGTTGGAAGCTACCAAGTATCAACAACTGCCCACTTACATTGTAAATCATAATTATTTAATTGGCAATTAATCATCAGCTACACTTTTATGTTCATGACAGGCCTAACCTGTGGTTTAAGCTTCTATTATTATTAGCTACATTAGCCTTACAGCACCAGTGCAAATGTAACTGAAGAGCCCAGCTTGAATGGGATACAGACATTAGATTCAGATCCCAAATTCTTGTGCAGAATTGATCTTTGGAGTAGAAGCATGATAGAGCAGTGTGAGTCGAGCAGGACTGTGCTAGTGTTTTAACTCTAGTAACTTCTAGCATGTAAATTAGCCACAGCAGGTTTTAAGGACAGCATTACAATCACAAATGCACATGTGAGGAAGTAAAACCTGGTATACTGAAATATATACTGAATTTGCTGTATTTTTAAAAATAATTCTGCTTGATGACACGTTGCCTGTAAGGGTCTACAACAGGGGCGCATAACTCCAGTCCTAGAGGGCCAATGTCCAGCATAGTTTGGAGGTTTCCCTGCTCAAACACACCCACTTGATCTGGCAATTAACAGGTAAGTATAATCAGGTGTGTTAGAGCAGGTAAATCACTAAACTGTGCTGGACACCGGCCCTCCAGGACTGGAGTTGTGCACCCCTGGTCTACAACCTGGCGTCAAAAGAAAAGAAAAAACAATAATTAAAAAGTCAGGGGGAAACACCGATTCAAGAAGTAAACGTCTAAGGTTATCAAGAAGGTCTTTGCTGATCACCCAGGCCTTTTTTGGACAGTGTCACATACTCTGAAGCAAATGTCCTTAAGCAGAAATGTATCAACACAATGTCTCAGCACCTGAACGCAGACAGCATGCTGGACAACCTTTGGAGTGACATCGTCTTTAGGGAAATCATCTGATGTGGTCTAAAGTCCCAGGCTGGGTTAGCTGACTCAACGGGGTCATTGACTACACATCCCTAAAGGCAGGCAGTGAGTGCAGTATAGTTTATAAAGTGAATATTAAAAGAATTTCAAGGCAAACTGACAAGTAGTTTACATTCACAGGAATAGCTAAATAAACGTTTAGTGAGCAACACTGTACGCTGAAGGCAACTGGGATCATAACATGAACAGCTACTTAGGCCAAAGTGTTTATACTAGTAGAAAACAACAAAACAATTGGTGGGCATTTTTCAGCAGGCTGGTCATTTAGGGGATAAGGGTAGCTCAAGAGGAATGTTCTCTCTACCCCGGAAACCCAACCCAAATCAAAGGGCCAGGGGAGGGAGCAGGAGTGGGAGACAGAGCCGGAGCCATATCTAATGTACAAATCAAACAGGGGGAGGGTGAGACAGACTGCTATTTCTGTCCCAAAGGAAACTCCGGCACAGAGCACACTGCCGTCCTGAAATACCTACAGCCCTCGTCACCTTCCCCCAGAGCTCCTGCTCACTCTACAACACACCGCAGACACTATGACTGGTCTAGCGCCCAGCTTGTGATCTGCCCACTCTCGAGCTTCAGAACTTTTAAGTCAATGGCCAGAATTTTCAGGGCTGTTGGAGTTGAAGACATGTAACATCACGATACCTGAGATTTTAATAATGCATGATATGAATCATATTCCATTTCTCTGAGGTTTGCAATCAAGTTGGAATGGACAACAAGATGGTTTTGCTGTGTGGGGGTGGGCAATATGGCAAAAACACTGAATTATGAGACTTTTTACAATGCACAATATTTTTTTCCTGAGGTTTAAAACACTGAAACTGACAAAAAAAAGAACCAAGTTTTAAAATTACTATCAAAAACTAAGTACAAACGATTTTACCTAGAAAAATGTTTAAGAAAGCTTGCATACTGAACTTTTAATAACCAAAATAAAAAGTATTGTACTTGTACATAAAGAAGTCTCTCTCCACCACTATGTCAGTGCTGGTGCTTTCTGCTATTTTTTTTTTTCCCCAAACCACATCAGCGCTGACACAAAGGATTATGGGATATGTAAGGCAGCAAAGGATACATCTACACCATCTTCAAAAAACAGCCAAACAGAGGAACCTCAGCAGGCAGTGTTTTATACAAACATTTGATTTGGACATGACTTGGTGCCTTCCTGCCCCAGAATACTCTGAGCACATAGCATTAGTTGTGTTTCAGACACATCCAACAATTAAATACACTCAATTAAATACTCAAAAGACTGTATTGTGATAACTTATAACCAGTATTGAGTTGGCCAGACCTCTGATAGTAGCCAGAACTGAGGAGCTGTGAAGAGAAAGGTATGCTGTGCACTTAAGTCTATCAGCTAAGGACAACTCACGTCTCTCTAAACCATTCTAATCACCATACATGCCATGACTTATAATGAAGCAAATGCTAAAAATAATCTCTCTCTAGAAATCAGTGTTACGGGATGAGAGCCTCTGAAGCAAGAGGAAAATAAACGATGTGTGGCAAGGGGCTCTTGATGTGGTAAAGCCTTTTGGTTTCGCTTAAACACTGATGCTGGTGCTGCACGCGCACCAAAAAATCAGAACGTTAGTAAGCCACAGTAATATGTGATCAACAAGTAAGAAAGACGTCACAGAAATCAGTTCACAAACACCACAAACTTATAAACAAGCCACAGGAGCATAGAGTGCAAATTACATCCTGAATGTGCTTTGGTGGCTCTTCTCCAGCGTTTCACTAACTGCTCGAGAAACTTCAGTCCATAAGGACTCTGTCAAGCATACAAGAGTAAGAACAGCCAAAAATTAACGCATGTTTAGTTCAGGCGCTGCTCTAACTTGACCCCTAAATTTTCTCCCACGCCAGTTGATACAGATCCTGTGCGCATGGGAATTTCTCTGCAGGCAGCGGGCAGAAGATACACCTGCAGGGGACAGCGGTCAACTCAAAACCTATATAGAGGATTTTGATAGCAAAACAAATATGAATTCAATTAATGTCAGACCAAACTGGTTTTCACATTTAACCCACTGAGCTAAAACAAAGTTAACAATCAATTAACGATTTATCTGGCACTCTCAAACTACTACAAGCACTAAAAACGTTCCCACAATATATGAACCTAGACATAATGCAGGCCTTTTTCATTACACATACAGAAATCTAAGTAAAACCAATGCAGACTAAACTTTTACTGCACTGAACTTCAACTAGACCTGTGAAGTGATCAAATGGCCATGATGATTTAAGTTATAGGCCTGAACTTTGAATAAGAACGGATAAGTAACCAAAGGAGTTAAATTAGTTAGATGTGCCTTTACTAGAGAAGGCATACTGGTATCAAGCCAATATCAGCAGAAAAGAAAAAAGGTCCTGTGCCATTTCTAGCCTTCACGGTAGAATTTTGACCAGGACTGATCAGTGATGGAATCAGCTTTCCAAGGTTTTTCCCCCGCCACGTTTTCCTACATGCATCTACAAGTTAAGACAGCAACAGACTGTATCAGTGGAACAGTTCAAGTCATCTGTACTATCGTTTCTAATAGCTCGGGGCTCCCAATGGTCAACTACATCAGCTCCAAATCCAGCAGATCTCTAAACCAAGCGAACCCACAGATCTTACAGGACACTATCTATCCACAGGCGTCCTAATTAGGCAGCAGATGGACTCTCGTTTCAGTGTGGTTAATTATTTGTGAAGTGGCTGAATCATTAAATGGGTGGAAGGCTAGCTAAAGTAATCCCGCTAGCTAATCGTGTTGTTTACGTGCCACCGTTATCGCGAAGTGGATGACAGCAGCCCAAAAAGCACATTCGACACCAACTGGACACCTGAAAGGTGGTCTCACTATGAGTGTCAGCAAATATGAGGAATATGGGAAGGAAAGTGAGAGAAATCTTTAGGCCTCGGCTCCGAAACCCACAGTCACGGAGGTGGCGATTCCCACACAAACCACCGCTAGTACGAGACTGAAGTTGGCTTCCTTTTCCAATTTTCCGTTCCACCTTAAACGGTGCAGCACTACTCCGGCGACCGTACAGGCTCCAGAATGTAACTGGCGACTATTTAAGGTGGAACGGAGAATTCGAATGAGAAGCTGGCGGATAAGAAGCCAACTTGAGCTCCGTGCTGTTCGCTACGTTTCGTGTCGTGCTCGCCGCTCATATACTTACAATCCAAGTGTTTCTTTTTTGGCCCCATAATCTCATGAGTGGTCGCCTTGCACACCGTCTTGGACACCGCAGAGCCGGTCACACTGTGCTGCGCTGCGGTTATCCTGTCCGTTATGCTTTGTCCAGACATCTTCTCGGTTTGGTAACGGGAGCGAAAACGCGAAACGCCAACTGTTTTCTGTTAACGTTATATCCAATGTTAACGCTGGTGTCCACGATTCCACCACCTGAGTACTGAAAGAAAACGGACAGAGAAGGCAGAGAATAGAAACAATTAGAGGGCTGAGGGCGGAGAAAAGCTGTCAGCCATACAGCTTCAGGCACTCTGAATGAAGTTTGGACTCCACACAAGTCGAGTGAAGGAGAGAAGACATACTGTTAACGTTAACTACATACCCAACGGCTGCTCTTCTGTTAAAGACAGTCCTCTCCTCGCTCGTGCACTGCTCTCTCTCTCTCGCGCGCGCTCTCTCTCTCTCCCCCTCACACACTCACTCTCTCTCTCTCACTTCCCCCTTTTCCTTCTCTCCTCCGTCGCTCTGGCTCTCCTCTCCGGCCTCGCCTCCCCCTCGCTAGGTTTTAAAAGGACTGGAGGCTCGTAGGAAAATGGCGGGCCTGTTTCCTCTCCTCACTGGATCCTCCCAGAGGTTGGTGTGGTGGATGCTGCGCGGTCGCTGCCAGACGCCGCCATGTTGGCTCAAACCCACAGTGAGGGACAACCGGGCCCCCTGCCGCCCCGCCTGCTCGGAGCCGCCATGGCGCCTCCACCGCTGCAGCTGCTCGGCTTTATCTCCCAGTTCCGCTGCACGAGATCAGACCACGTGATCAACACCATCACCTACTACAACTTTCACACACAGTCTCTGACTGGTACACTGTGCACTTTGCAGCCGGCGTGAAATATACAGTTTTCTAAGTAGCAATTACAGAAAGGTACCCGTGAAAAATATATATTTTACACGTATTATATCGTCAAAAATTACAGTTTTGCTTTTATTTTTAACACAAACACTTTGCTTTTCTTGCTGCTTCCATTCTTTTCAGGTGACTTGCTTTCAGTTTTTTCACGGAGCCCTGATGAGGTGGGTTATCCAGGTCCAAAAAGTAAAAACCCTCCCCAGGATTTTGTTCCAACTGCTTGACTTCTCTAATTTGCTCAAACCAGCAGCAAAGGTGTTCAGGCAGTTGGAACAAAATCCTGGGGAGGGTTTTTACTTTTGCACCTGGATTACCCACCTCTAATGTACAGAGCCCGGCTGGTGACATCCTATATAAATAAAAATAATGCATGGCCACGCCTTCTTAACGTGTGGGAACGAGATCCTAATGCGTTGCCACGACTTAGTAAGGTGTGGGAACGAGATCCTAATGCGTTGCCACGACTTAGTAAGGGGTGGGAACGAGATCACGGCTTACCGAGTCAGGGCCAGGCATTAGGATCTCGTTCCCATGCTTTACTAAGTCGTGGCCATGACTTAATCATCTCATTCCCATGCCTTACTAAGTCATGGCCGCGTGTTATTTTTATTTGTACAGGATGTCACCAGCGGGGCTCCGTACTTTTCAGATGACATCCTGTATAAATAAAAATAATGCGTGGCCACGACTTAGTAAGGCGTGGGAATGACATGATTAAGTCGTGACCATGACTTGGGCCTTGTTTTCGAATGTCACCCTAACCCCTTGGAACTGAGTTACAAGGGGTAGTGGTTGAAATCTTGCTCTAAGAATTGGGACAACCCTCAAATTAAGTCAGCTATTCACCAGCTTCTTGTTCGAATTTTTCCGTTCCACCTTAATTGGTGAAGCATTTATATTCAGGTGTCAGAACTGCTGGACTATTTAAAGTGGAATGGGAAAGTTGGCTAGCTAGCTACCGAAACATTAGCATGCTATTAGCGATTTTTTATGCTTGCTATAAAAACAACCATAATACATTGAAACGACATTAAACTAAGATAATACAGTGGTTATCATATTTTTTAACTGAGAAAATTCTCACATTTGTGGGTTTTTTTGGTCGTTTGTTCAGCCAACTTGCCAGTCTTTTTTTTTCTTATAACACTCTGTTTGGAGTGTGCCTCTGAAAAACCTCCGTTTGGAGGGTCATGTAGCCCTAACACTTCGCCCCACCCCTCCATCTCAACAAAAATTGGGACACCCTACCCCTAGACATGAACGCGCAAAACAGAGGGCTAAGGGCTAAGTGGGATTGGGCCTTAGTAAGGTGTGGGGATGAGATCACGGCTTACTAAGTCGTGGCCATGCATTAGGATCTCGTTCCCACGCCTTACTAAGTCGTGGCCACTCTTTAATTTTATATATACAGGATGCCACCTTAGTTTTTCAAAGAAACCTGCAAGGAGGTTTTTCTACACCTCCAAAGTTCAGTCTTAGAAGTTGGTTGCGTTTTGTGCTGCTAATGATCCAAATGTTCCCCGTCACAAATTTAGACTTATCAGTCCTTAAAACTTTACTTAACATCTCAGAAGTCCAGTTCAGTGTTCTAGAGCAGATGTTCTTCTTTTTTATCTATTTCCTTTTCTCAGTAACAACAACTTGACAGCAACACATCCTTTCTGACTCTGAGTTGTGTTCTAACAGTGGAAGGATGAACAGAAACACCTGTGGATCTGAAGCAAGAGTGGAACTTAATTTCTCAAAGAAAGCTTTGTGTGTTTATCTGATGGGGACAGTTTTGATGGTCTACATGGTCTTGCACAGTTGTTAGGAGTCTCCTTTTCTATATATTCTATATTCTATATAAGAATTTTTGGAAACTCCTGTTTTTTTCACTTCTCTTGAATTTTCTGCCTCCTTTTGCAAACGGATTATCTTCTATCTAATCTCCTCAGAAACATCTCCTTTAGTCATTTTAAATGCACAGGAAAAACTTTAAAGGCAGCTGAGTTTGGGTAGTTGCTTTTGTGAATGGTAGTGTTGTTTGAAAGGGATTTTAATGTCAGTGACTCCTTTGGGAGAAGCTTTTGTTGGGAGGACACAGCTGTAATGGGTTGGTTTTAAAATTGGAAGGACAGAACAGTTAAACTGGCAGTATCTGCAGAAAAGTAAAGAGTGGAAAAATTAAATACTAATAGATTTAATGTTGTACTTAGTCTTGGAGGCTTTTATGTAATTTTCTGTTTAAAATACCTTTTCTTCTTTTTCTGACACTGAAATTGTATACATTGAATAAAAGTACTAAATGGCCATTTTGACTGTAAATTGAATGAATTAAGTGGTGTCTGGCTTTTACACATAACTGTAGACTGTCTCATAAGTACCAGTAATTGAGGGATACTGGTGAAAAAAATACTTATGCAAGGTATGTTTAGTCATTTTTGTGAAAAGGTCTGTTTAATTCAAATTCTTACCCTACAGGCATACATACATCATCTAAACCGCTTATCCTTCTGGGTCGCGGTGGTGTGCTGGAGCCTATCCCAGCTGTCATTGGGCGGAAGGCAGGATACACCCTGGACAGGTCGCCAGTCCATCGCATGGTAGACAGACAGACATACACAGTCACACCTAGGGGCAATTTAGCGTGTCCAGTCAGCCTGACTGCATGTTTTTGGACTGTGGGAGGAAACCGGAGTACCCGGAGGAAACCCACGCAGACACGGGGAAAGCATGCAAACTCCACACAGAAACGACTCTGGTCATCCGGCCGGGAATCAAACCCAGGCCCTTCTTGCTGTGAGGCGACAGTGCTACCCACTGCGTCGCCCCCTACAGACATATTTGCATTAATTATAAAAACTATAGTAATCATAATAATAATAATAATAATAATAATATTGTTTTGTGATTGTTGTGTTTGTTTTTGTATAATACCAAGATAATAATATCAACAACACAAATAAAATATTAATAATTTTATGTTAAAATATGATTAATTAGCTAGTTAGTTAGTTTGTTACTATCCAAAAATGAGGGCAAATAGAGGTGGAAACTCATAACATGTAGAATATAGTTCACTAATACATTTCTGCACAATAAATGTTACGTGTTGTGACTTATGGAAATGCTGAACTATGACTGGACTTCAGTAACTGCTGTTGTTATAGCTTAGCTCTAGATCTACTTCATTACTACTATTTATATCTACTTTATTGCTTATTACTTTGTTTTGTATAGGATATTTAATACACCCAGACAAATAAAGCATTATACTTGTAATATGTGACATAAATACGGAATTTAATATGCAGTGTTCTTTTCAGTCAGTATATAATGATTGAAAAGGGAGACACCTGGTGGCCAAGAATTGCATGTATAATGTTTCTTGAGGCCAGGATTGGTGTTTCCAGAAGCCTATATTACTAAACTGTGGTGTAAAGGGAGATTGCAGTGTATTCATCTCATAGAAATGGAGGGAAAAGGCCTAGTTTATGTGAGGCTCAGGTGATGTAATTTGTAATGTTGACACATATACAAATATTTTTGTTATATGCCAAGCATGTAAATGTATGTAAATGTCTACATTTTCATAAGCACTTCCCTTTAGCCAATTACCGTACGTGAAAGAAAACAGGATGGTGACCTCATTCGTTGGACATAAGCTCTAGTGACATTATTATTTCACAACTGTTCATCACTAACGCTTATTTAACCTTAGTTAGCTGTTGCTTGAAAAGCATTTAGCCTTGGTGAAATGGACCATTTTGGCAAGTTTATGAGCATTGACTGTGGAGTGCGTATAGATGTCCAGTGACATCCTACTGCTGTTGAAACATCATTTGGGCATCAGAATAATCTGTTCACCGTATCATCTCTGCAGCGAGCCTTTAAGACCCGGAATAAGCCTATTTTAATAGGATTTTTAATGTGGAAACACCACTGGCACTGCAATATAGATCACGACTAAGCTTGACCCATGTCTAAGAAGGTGACCCATAATATTCATGTACAGTATACATAATAACTGACACTAAGAGGTCACCTGAAGAGGACAAAGTAGTGCTGGCACGAGGGCCACAAAAGCGAAAAGGGGTCGTGTGCTGAACCCGAGCTGAGGCAAAGCAATAAACACCAGCTCAGGGCTCTTGTAGAGGAGAATGACTTTGAGAGGAAGTGGAGACTAGAGTGAATGTAGGAGATATGAGTTACTGAAGCACAATGTCAGTATGCTGATCGGTTTCAGGAAGGAGAAAGACTGCATGTGAGTAAATGGGCCAAGTGGTACACTTATACAAGCATGCTGGTGGAGGCAGCCAGTGTTTTAATAAGCATATCCACTAGGGGGCAATATGCTGCTGCCACATAACCTATAACAGTACTCTTCATGTACCAGTGAGGACACCAGACATTGGGATAACTCAACTAGTGGTGAATGGAAGCTGAACATCTTGGATAAAAAAACAGATGCTTTCAATGTCCAAAAATATTACCTGGAATTAGTGCATTCATGACCGTATTTATGTTTCGCACTTGTGCCAACCAGCCCCAACATAGTACTGGTTGGCATGTTTTTCGCACAGTGTAAAAGGCTATAGTTTAAAGAACAATGTAGCAAATAATCAAAGTTTTTAACTGAAACCAAAGCACAATATGAACATTCAGTGGATATCAAATAACATTTCTGAATCAATTAAATATTAAGAATGTTTATTTTAGAATCGGCTTGTACTGAAGGTCAGAAAAAAGAAAAATAAAAGTGGGCCACTTTTATTTTTAATTTTAA